ACCGCCTATCCGAGTGTGCAGCAAAAACTGGCGTGGCGTAGTGGCCGAATTGTGAAACAGAGAAAAGGGGATTCAATGCACGTGGGCTGAAGTTATGAATAACGCATGAAGGAACCGGATCCGCGAATAGAGTTGATTCTAATCGAATCATTTTGATTCGAGCCAAGCGTGTGTGTGTGTGTGTGTGTGTGTGTGGAAAGGGGGGGGGGGGCAACAAATCCGTAGTGCTGAATTTTAGGCGTCATCCAAAGAAGGCTACCGCGAGGCACAGATTGGAGACGAGTACTGCCTCCGCATTCAGCTGACACTCGTCCTCACATCATAAGCCACGCGCTGCGCAGGTGGCCTGCCGTTCCGTGGTCCAATGGGCGGCCGTGTTCATGATCGCCTTCGGTGTGGTGGGCAAAATGGGCGCCCTGTTCGCCACCATCCCGGACCCGATCATCGGCGGCGTGTTCTGCGTCATGTTCTCCATGATCTCCGCCGTCGGCCTGTCCAGCGCACAGACCGTCGACCTCAACTCGTCCCGAAATCTATTCGTGTTGGGCTCGTCCCTCTTCTTCGGTCTCATGGTGTCCCACTGGACCAGCAGAAACGCAGAAGCCATCAGGACAGGTGAGAGCATCTCACAATCGCCTACCCCCAGACCATTTCCACAAATAACTGCTATCTATTGAGTACTTACGATCAATTACCAAAATTCCATCATATTCGGGGATCCTCGTTCCGATCATTTTGCCCGAGAGGACATTGGGTATGGCAAACAGGGAACTGTAGTTTTAATATATGATCACATGCTGAAAGTCCAGCATAAACCTTTCATGCAGCGTCTTCGATAAAAACCGTTCACTTACCTGGATGGTCCAGTCCATGGCTTCAGTGACGAGTCTTGCGACCTCGCTGCTCACCATTTTTTTTTTTCGGAATCCCATGGCCGTTTTGCTTTTCTTGGTTGCACCGTAGCTAAATAGCAACCCACTGAATGTGCAATTTATTATTCTAGTATCCACTGAACGTACAATTCATTATTCTAATATCATGGAAATCGAGTTCAATGCGGATGCATTGAACTCGATTTCCATGTCCACAGATGGAAGATAATAATAATAATATTCATTCCGGCTCAGGACAGCCGTGACGCCGTAGAAAGACCGATGGCCCCATACCTTAGAGGTCTGCAACGCCGCACAATACAAGGTTGAACAGTCATGAATCTGTACAATTGCCGATGACGTCACGGTGTGATGATGATGATGAATACAAAGAGACCGAGGGAGGTGGGAGAGGGAGATCTATGGGAACACACTTGAGGCCTGCCGGCAGATAGCCACAATGTCCTCGGGGTCAACGCGAATGTCTACCGTCAGCTCAGGGGGCAGAGAGCACCAGTTCCTGGCTGCATGCATCAAACAGGACTCGAGGTTACGCAGCGTACGTGCCAGGAGAGGCTGCATCTTCCCGGTGCGGGCGTTGAAGCGAGGAGCGTCTGAGGGCTTCATGGAGGTTCCCATCAGGTTGCAGAAGAGACGGATGGAAGCCACATCTCTTCTGTGTGCAAGGCTGTGCCAGTTAGCGCCCTATAGAAGGGCTGTCGTAGATATGTCCCTGTAGGGTGAAAGCGAGAAACGGGGGACATTGCGCCTGTACGGCGTGTAAGCAGCACTCCGCTGCACACTCTCCAGGGCTTGTTCGAGCGATTTCTGGAAGGGGCTTTACACAGGTGAGCAAAACCCTAGGTAGGGTAGCACCATTCCCGCGCAGAGGTGCCGAAATGCGTTTGGTGGCATGCCACGTGAGACATCCGTTACAAAGCCTAGTGACCGACGCGCCTTTGCCATAATGCCCCTTATGTGGCCTACGAAGCTCAAATGGTTGTCGAAACTCACGCCCAACAGAGTAGTGCTCTGGACCCGCTGGTAGGGGAACAGAGCCAAAACAAGGGGCGGGAGAGTCGGGCTCTTTGTACCTATGGTCAGTGTCATTGTCACCCTTTTCTTAGCGTTGAGTGGGAGTAGGCGGCTTAGAGACCACATGTGGCATGCATCTTGGTCGGCTTGAAGTTCGAGGTAGGACTGAGGTGAGTTTAGGGGCTTAATCAGTGTCAGGTCGTCGGCATACAAAATTGCTGTGGAGCGCAGGATTTTCGTGACCCCGTTGATTTAGATCAAAAACAGGGTGGGGCCAACTACACTGCCCTGAGGGATCCCTGAAAGAACAACACGAGACGTTGATGCAAAGCCGTGGATCGAATATACCCTCCAATATGGCGGCTCCCAATGACATAATCATAATAACTGGCGTGTGTTTGGAGATTTATGTGTGTCCTTTGTCCCTCTTGTTCCCCTTCTCCAGGGATTACTTTCGTCATTCTTGTCCAGCTCGCTTGCACCTTTGCATTTAATTGCATTATAATTATAAGAATTTTGCATATGGCCTAATGGGCAAGACAAGTGACCTGTGCGCGACGGGTCTGGCACCCCGCGAAATCACGTATAATGTCTCCTTATACACTGTGCAAACTTTTAGTCCTTTATTGGTGTAGTTTGTTCTGAGGATAAAATCATTCCTTTTTAGTATACATTTGTAAGTAAACTTTCATATTATTTAGTCGTGAATATTCTCTTTTGTCTAATGGTGTTATCGCATGTACACTAATGCTACAAGTTGTGTGCTGCGATATTGAAGCGCGAGAGCGCAGTTCTGCTGAAGTCTTTGTGCGCAAGAGTTCTTAAATAGAGGGATCACTTTCTAAATCCACGCGCTCGCTACCGCGGCGGCTTTGAGAAGACTATACAGAACTCCCGACACTGATTTTTCGCGTCTCCAGGCCGGCACATTCAGTGGAGACGCCCGTCATGAATCCTCGCAGAAAATCTTCCCGTTTTGAACAGTTGATACCGTTTGCTTGGCTGGCGTTGTGGATAACTATGCCAATTGTCTCGTACTGTGGACTACCTTACTGGAGACTGTTCTTCCAATTACAAAAGCTTCACAACAAGAAGTGATTTAAACATTTTTTTTTTGTTTCAATAAGGTACGAACGAATAATTGAATATGGTAGTTATTTTAGCAGTGTTTCATTGAACATACCCTTTCTATGATTACACTGAAATAACCTTACCGGCGTACCATGCCACTCTGAAAAAAATCCTGCACTCTAAGAAATGCCTGCGCGTCAACTTACCCGCAAAACACTCAAAGAGCCAATCTCTGCGATCTAGGAAATCAGCTCAGCGAATGATGAGGCAAAACATCTATTTAGACCTAAAAATGAAGTCTGCGCTGTAGCATTACGCAATGCAAAGCGTCATGATTGCATTGCGTAATGCTACAGCGCAGACTTCATTTTTAGGTCTAAACAGATGTTTCGCCTCATCATTCGCTGAGCTGATTTCCTAGATCGCAGAGATTGGCTCTTTGAGTGTTTTGCGGGTAAGTAGACGCGCAGGCATTTCTTAGAGTGTGTGCGTCTACTTTCTCGCAGTACACTCGGAGGGCCAATCACCGCAATTTACGGAGGTAGCTCGGCAAATGACGATGCCGAAACATATGTTTAGGCCAAAAAGCGCAGTCTGAGTTGCGACATTTGGCAATGCAAGCGTTACGTTTTGCATTGCTTAATTTCACAACTCAGACTGCGTTTTTTGGTCTAGACGTATGTTTCGGCGTCGTCATTCGCTGAGCTGCCTCCGTAAGTTGCGGTGATTGGCTCTCCGAGATTGTGCGGGAAAGTAGACGCACAGGCTTTTTTTAGAGTGTGGCCTTCGTTTCTGCCGCTCCATATTCCCAACTTTCTTGGACATCAACGCCTCAGTGCATGCACTAAGATGAGCATTTCAACTGAACAACAGGCATCGAAATATTCCCCGGAAATATTTTTGATGGCAGTCCTGAAATAGGAATAAGCAGTAAAGGAACTTTTGGATACGTACAGTTTTTATTCCACGGCTCTACAATTTGTTTAGCATTGAATCCTATGGGCCACATTCACATAATTTTACATTTCTGCATTTCTTGAGAAACTATCGTAATGTTAGAAAGGAGCTGTAATTGCCTGTGTATCATAAAACGGAAATAAGCTATAATATTGGATATTTCCTTGAAAACGCTCTAATCCACAGAATGTCCCAGAAAGTTGGTCATTACACTCGAAATTCTTTGGCAACCCCTGACATTGACTGTAAGTACATGCTAGGTAAACGCTAATACCTATAAACTAGGAAGGCATGACGTCTGGAACAAGCGTCTGCACGATTAGAAGTATACCTTTTTGATTTTATAAAACCACGTGGCAGCTATGTACAATAAAATAGTTCATTCCTGTGCGTCGCCATGGAGAACAAGCACCAATCATCGTGAGCTATGGAATGAATCAACCTATGAAGAACCTATCGTGCGTTACATCCACTCGGGCAGTAAGCTTTAAATTTGAACGTTCGGTGCCCGGACGGATGGGCTTACATTTCTAATTTTGTGTGGCCATTTAATATGATCGAAAGCAGGCGTTTTACGGCGGAGATAGAAATCGCATAGGTTATTCTTCGCGTAGATTTTTGTTTCCTGGGTGAAAGAGAAATCAGGTTCCATGATTTAGGATGCAACACCCTGACCAAACCCTTTTCTCTCTGTCTGCAGTCACAGTAGCACCAACGGACATCATAAACTATCTGTTTCGCTTGCACCTCATATTTTCATATGTATCCAAATGCTGTCTCCTTTCACTGGATAAATAAATGACCGGCAACTTGAAAGGATTTTCTCGAAAAATGTGAACCGTAGGAAACAAACGCAGTATTTTAATAAACCATAAAAAATGTTTGCCATAATAATTTTGCGAGTCGATTTCACAGGTTTTATAATGGAGGTTAGTACGACGGCGTCAAGAGACGTGTTGAGCATTAAAAAGTTTGCGCGAACAAGGAACCGACGGGTTTTTGATAACTTTCTCGCAGAACTGAAAGGAGACCTTCAAATCTATTAGCATGGCGAAACGTGCTAATTCGGGACATTAACATAAGCGGTAAACATCTGTGCTCGTGAATGGCCTGTCTGATGCGCAAGCTACGCCACTGTCGAGTTTGTGCCACATGGCGGAGCGCACGCGATCGATGAAATAGAGATATGTTTCATTATTTGAAATTGTCTCAGTGTATTTGGAAGAGCACCCTCGTTCCTGTTTTCAAGGAGTAGACCCGGTGTTTTTAACCATTCGTTCCATTTCGTTTTGTCTTTTCGTTTCTCTAGGATATGATGTGTTAGATCAAACGATCGTCATCCTGCTCAGTACCAGCATGTTTGTTGGAGGCTTCCTGGGAATTTTCCTTGACAACACCATTCCGGGTAAGTCGGCGCACATTTTACGCCCCCCCCCTCCCCCCTTTCCCGCAAAACAGACAAAGAGTAAAACGAATTTAATCCCAAACAAAGTCAACGTTGAAAACGGTCCACACGCTAACAATCTTCGTCCCAACCGGAATAAGCTACGTCCCGGTGTACGGAGACAGACATTGCGATCCGGTTGCTCCTTTTCTTCAATTCCTCGACAACGTTCTTTCCTTGTCCCATTGTTGTTGATTTTTTTTTTTTTGTTTTTTTTTTCCTTTTTATTGCGTAAGTTTCTGATAAAGAAAATCTCACCGTTTTTTTACTTCATCCCGCTTGGGTGGAAAGTTGTGCAATCTTGCCCGCAGACGTGACAAAACACCTTGTTAGTACGATTTAGAAAGATTCACTCTCGTCAATCGCCACCAAATTTATAGAACATAGGTAAGGCTGACTTTCCTTCAGCGATTAGCGTTTATGACATCCTGGCCTAAGAGGGAAACAGGGAGAAAAGGAAAAAAAAAAGGGGGGGGGGGGGGGGGCGACTGACAGCCCTTCAGAGGACAGCCTTCGAAACTTACGAAATACTTGCGAGAGAACATGATCGAAATCATTCTGCCCATTTCCCCAGGCACGGCCGAAGAGCGGGGACTCGCTGGAAGCGGCCACCACGGCAGTGGTGGTCGCAGCGGCACGACCGACTGTTACGACTTGCCCTTCCTGAAGGCACGTCTTGAGAACGCCGCCTTCGCCTACCTGCCCATCAGCCCCACCTACAGCAACTCGGTGCTCCTCAACAAGATCACGCCCAAGTTCGTTCGGTCCTTGTCGCGCAAATCAAGCTCCAAGGTAGCCGCCGAAGCCTAGGTGTCTTACTGACGGCAAACGCCGACAGCCTATGCGGTTCTCCGCCATCGTTGTGGTCTCTCAAGAAGCGGCTGCCGAGCAGGACTCTCGAGCACGAAGTTGCAGAGCGCGATGCGAGTCAGTGAAGGTTAGACATTTTAAACTGTGTCTAAGACTTCGAGAAGGAGAAGAAACAAAAAAGAATTTACAACACCTACATAAAACGTCTTCCTTCTTGTCCCAGTTCGGATATTGATCAAAATGTGAGCGCTCGAGCGCCGCTGCTGGAATGGCCCGAACCGAAAAGAACTTGGGTTAACTCGCGTCTTCCGTGAAACCAGGACGCCCTCTGTGTTGAGCGCTGAAAAACAATAATAAGACAGTAATGCGCTAAACGGAGAACCATGTAGGATTTACTCTGCCAATAATTGCGGCGGACATTTAAAACAAATAAATACTATTTTTTTTTTTAATCAACAGGCCTTATAGCAGGGACATTTTTGTCTAGATGATTTTGTACCTGCAGTGCAAAGAGTCGTAGAGACATAGCATGTATGTCGAAAAATGTCAAAACTTCTACGCTGTTTATTTTTTACATGTAAATGTTTTGCCTATTTTCCTCTAAAGCTAGCGCCTTTCAGAAGAAATGCTACTTCTGTGGGCGTTCTAGAAGAGTTTGGACCTTCCAATAAACAGTGGCCACCACTTAATAAAGATACAGCGCGATCGACCTTCTGCTTCACGTTTCGTTTTTATTTATTTTTATTTATTGCCTAGGTTTGTCCCTTAACCTAAGTGTATACTACTACTATCAACTGGCAGTCAACATTTTGCTGTCATTGCAAGCAAGTCAACCAAACAAGCCTGCTTCCACGAATAATTATTCCTTTTTCATTCCCAAATTAGCCTAACGGTGATTTTTGTTTTTGTTTTAGTGGTTTTAATTTAGGTAGTGCAACGTGAATGGGAGTTTATTTTCTCGTAACCTGTCAAATATTAATCGTCTCCCGGCGGTGACTAATACTTGAATAGGCTTTCAGTCCTTTCCCAATCTAATGACGTATTCGACCCGAACACCACCATTGGCAACATTTCAGGCTTTTAAGGTTTTACATTCCGCTTTAATAAACACCGGGACTCGTTTAAAGGAGCTGTGCAACGATATTCATTTGGAATGTTTTTCTATCTATACGAACTTACTGGCACACCTGGGACTCAAGGATACTCAGACGCAACGCCATTGGCCAAGAAACTCCTTTCTTGCGGTGTAATTTCAAGGACAAAAGCGATCATTTTCATTCAATCTCTCCTTTGCAAAATTTGATGACGTAACTCGGGGATCGCAGTACACCCAAGTGACGATATTTGAACGAGGTTCATAGATTGGACCCGAGCATTGCGTGGGCACTCGACTTGGGCTCGTGACAATTGCTAGCTCGAAAAGCATTCGGGTTGTGACCCGTGTCCAATCGCTGCAACGACGACAACAGCCGAGCGATAACAATGTCTGGAACTCAGCGCGTGTCCTGCGCTTTGCCAACCCCAGCGCGTGGCTATGATCAACACTGGCGGCATATAATCGGCTTCAGATCACGTGGCCGCTTGTTCTGGCTGCGAGTTGAGGGGGTGAACGCTGCTCGTTTTTCTGAAATTTTTTTCTGGGACTTCTGTTGCGTGGGGTAAAGAACGAACGCGTGTTTCATAGGTCATTAGCGTTATTGATCCGTTTTAAGCGGTATTTGCGCAAAGTACAAAAATTGTTGCGTCGCTCCTTTAAATTATGATCAGAGTAACGTTGGCAATGCGTCTCCGCAAATGGTTTGCTCGTAAATTAAGCACGCGTGGGTTCGGAGTGATGCATAATTCCTACGCGACTGTCTAGGCCGAGGCCCTTCAGTTGTGCGCTCCACTTCCCTTTGCTAAAATAAAAGCGCAATGTCATTTTTTGGGGACACAAATCTTGGGCGCCTCGTGTTCTGTGCAACATCTAACTGCAGAGAAATCGAGCGTGTCTCAGAAATTTTATCTGCAGCTGCGCTACGAGTCGACAAAGCACTTCTTTTGATTGGGAGACCTCACACTACAGCGGCAAACAGCAAACAGTGTTGGGAGACAGGTATATTAGGTTAGTTCCTAAACGGGGGGGGGGGGGGGGGGGGGGGGAGATTTATTCGTAAGACAAATTGGGAGTTAAAGTACATTTTTCCGGATATTCCCTTTCAATGCCAGTGCATCTTGTTAAAAGTGTCTTCTACATTTAAGCGTCAACAACTGGTCGTAAAAAAACATTCCAAAAATAAGTTTGAATGCTCCTTTTGGCGACCAAGACTTCGGACAAAGTTTTGGTTGCCAGACAAATGAAAAAAAAAAGAAGCTTTTATTGTGTTTGAAATATGCACATCACAGACCTTTATAGTAGGAGGCTGGCCTGCCGATCGGCAACCCGTTGGTGGGACCACCGGCGGTCATTGCTTGATAGCAATACATTGAAGTGTACGGAAGAAACACAGAAACGCAGGAATATTGAAGCTTGTACGCGGCCCTCGATTGACAATATTTTATTACGTCTTGCGACCACCATATCGGGTGTTTTAAGGGGACTATGAAATAAATTTCAGATTCAGATAAATTATTAAAAATCTTGATTTTACTAAGTGTATATTGTTTAGTGGGTCAAAAAGAAAACGAATGCATGATCGTAGAGAGCCAAAATTCCTTCTTTTAGGTACACATTTGTTTCATGTAAAAGCGGACTATTTCTTACCTCCCCTTTTTAAAAAAAAAAAGACCCGCCTTTTCACCCTTTTCACTGTGACGCATTCATCTCGTGCAAACGTCAGCGGAACCCAGCTCGTGTATTGGACATGAGCACTGCTTCACTCTGATGCGCGGGCTCGTCAACAATCAATCCCTCGACAAATATTCGGATTCGCGCTCGTGGTCATTGAGTGTCGTGGCGGCACTCATCATCACTTGCGAACAAGTTCGATGGTACATGTGCGTAAAATGCACGGTGGAAACTTGGAGTCATCAAATTCCGAGACCGACCCCGTCAGAGTGGAAAATTACATTGCTCTTATTTCCGTCGATGAAATCAAATTGAATCAGACTGGCCAGCCGTAGAATGCCGACTGGCAAGAAGGCTGTGAGTGCTCTCGCTGTAGCTGGACATTTATCGAGAATTGCACCAGATTAACCGGAAGCAAGGCATACCGATAACTAACCCCGCCGACACTCAGAGAGCGGGCTTAGCCGTCCGAATGTAGCGCGCGTGTGTATAAAGACACTCAATGCGAACATCGATAAAAAAATTCAAGAAAAAAATTTACCTGAGCACAAACGACTATGTTGGCTTAGCTTGCTCTCGCTGCAGAAGAAATTATACGTTAAACAAATAACCCACACGCTTCGAGTTTAAGTTCGTCAGAGAATCCCTTACTGTAGTTTAAAGCAAATTCTTGTTCCAAAAACCCTCGGTAGAAGCATTTGATAGACGCGAATGTACCCGGTTGTACTTTTTAACCTATGAAAATGAAGTCAAAACGGTGATAGCAGAAATTACTCTTTATAAAGTCTAAATACACTAACGTAGTAAAAACAATCGCACTATTCTCAGGAAAGTGGTTTTGTTATTTCCAGACGATGCAGCAGGTAAGTGGTTGCACACACAACTTCCGGACTTGTGATTGACGTTCACTAATCTTCACGAACAAAGTGACTTAACCGTCTCATGGAATGCGCCTTCAATTAAACCGAGCTACTCTCGAATGCCTAAGAACTTTCTTAATAAACGCGGTTTTCGGGGAACGATCAAAGAGACCACCAACGACTCCGTGTTGACTCTCAGCAGCCCAGTGTCTCGTTGAACCGCATCACAGTTTACGCCCAACAACGTTGCAATCCTCAATCCTTGACTACAAATTATGTATCTAAACACGATTGACGTTTTAACGCTTTTAATATTTGAGCCCAAACTATTACCCTTCATCCAACGATATACGTTTCATTTCCGAGAACAACCCACCCATTGTAGGAAACTGCAGTATTCTTCGTTTTTTTCATAAAATCCCATACATTTCCTGGTGTCAAGCGATGGTTGATAATGGAGCCACTCGACCCCCAAAAAACAAGCCTCCGGCTTACTACAATATACATCAGTGAAGTACATTAATCACATAGAGGTGGGAATTAATAAATCTCAGCGAAGATCCGAATTGTAATGAAAACGACTATAGGATTCATTCAGTCATTCATTTAATCGAGACAGTTTATCCAAGACAGGCGTTGTGTTAAGCAGCGTGGCTAGAGGCAACAGATGCCTGACTAGGCCATGCCACACTTTCAACTACACGCATAACGTCAACAGGCAGCCGTGTAACGGTAAAATATCGGTCAAAGATTCAGAAAGGACCTTTGACCTACATTTAGAGGATTCTGAGCCGTCTACAATTTAGATTCACCTTGGTATTCAAATTCTGGCTCCTTGACGATCCTTCAAAGGAAGTATAGTAGATAGCCTAGTGGCTCTGACATCATATTTAGAAATATAAATGGTTGGTTGTTTGTTTTTGTTGTTATGTCTTTGTCCTCTTTTTTTTCGCGCGGGTGAGTTTAGGAGAACCGAATTGGTAAGAAACTTCATACAGGGCGTATAGCCATACTTGGCGGAGAGTGTACTACATGCCGCTCCACTTCGCGAAATGACAATATCTCACGCGTGGAGAAAGCTGCCTCTCAAAACGCTCTCCTGTTAAGACGCCGCACGAAAAGAACAGCCCCCATCGGTTTCGGTCTTGCAAATGTGATAACGGCTGACTCGAGCACGAAAAAGAACAAAAAAACTAAGGTCGGGCATCCAAGAAAGGGACAGCCGTCTATCTCAGGTCCATCGCACGTCCATCGCCCCATTGCCGATTAGATACGTGCGGACCTGCCACTCGAACTCAACGCCTTCGAATAGAAGCTTCACCAGCTCAATCGTTCTTCGAAGTCGGCTAACAGCACCACGATGAACATCGGCGTGGCGTCGACGGTGACTCGCGGGCCAAGGACGCTCGCTTGGCTCACTGCGCTGCTCTGCTTTCTTGTTTATCCTGCGGACGCGTTTGAACTGAGTGAGTCGCCTGTCAACTCGGCTTCTTTTCTTAGGCCCCGGGACGCAATTTCCTGAGGGCGGAGATAGTTCTTCGGAAGGTTGGTTCGGAAGTCGGAAAAAAGCAGTATTCGTATTCAGTTACCGGGAAGTTCTTTTTGGGGTACTCTGATAGAAACGAGCGAACTCGGTGAGCCAGTTCGGTTTATCGGCCTCCTTTTTTTGTGCTGTATACGGTCCCGGCCCAACATGGAGATTGAGGCCCGTCACGCGAAGACAGACTGGAGGTTGACGACGGTGAAATGCAAATAGCGCTTCCTTTTTTTATTATTATTAGATGGTAAACCCGGGTACTTACGCGTCGAGTCCAATCGCTGACACTGTTTTGATTTAGCTGTCGATTATGGAACGAATAATTCGCCCGCTTGCTTTTTCACTTTCGCACGAAGAGAAGGAAGCTGCTGTAGCAAGAACTTGAAGGAAAGCACCTCGGCAGCAACACGGTAACGGCCGACATTTCGATAGTAGTCTTAGGTTCTTTGGGGCTCGCGCCTATTTTGTGCGACATTAAGTTCTAATGAGACTATCTGATTCATGACTCTCCGTCTTACGATTTTTAGCCGTTCGTGTAGTTTTTAAGATAACAACTATGGCCTTTGGTCATATTGTGCAAGCTGGTGATTATAGCTAGGGATGTCGCATATTGTCATTAGAGAGAGAGAGAGAGAAAAAGAGAGGAGAAGGAGGATGAGTAGGAAGAAGAGCCAGGATAACGTTTCTATTAGGTGTCTCCTTCGACAGAAAATACCGTTTTTGTGAGGTAGCGTAATGGCGACATACCGAACAGATACCTGCAAAAGTCTTCCTGTTAGCCACTTTTCCGAGAAAACCGTCAGCCACAAACAACGACAAAAATAAAAAAAGGCTACACAAGGTTATCCGGTGCGATTTTTCACAGTTGGAGAAACGCCAACCAACAGAAATAATCGGTTCAGTTCCAGGAGACTGGTTCGAACAGCCTTCGCAGGATTCGCCACGGCTCGGTGACGAATCACGGGCGCTGGCGAAGGCTCAAAGCTGGCTCAAGATACATCCGTGCCGTGAACACAGCTTGGGCGAGTCTTCAGGAGAAGCCCACCGAAGAGCGCTGGCCCTGGCTCTAATCGAACCGGAGCTTTTCACGTCGTGTTCATCCGATGCACTTCTGCACATACGGGACCTTCAACACCAGATCTTGCTGCAGTCGACTGGGTAGATGGGTCTTGACGCTTATTCAGCTCGACGTTTGAAAATCCGACGCCCAACTCGGTCACATCATGCAACGTGTGCGCCGAGAAACCGAGGGACAGGCGGAGACGAGAGCGCACGGTGACGTCAGAACGTTCTGGTTGGAATGATTAGTGGGCAGGCCTAAAGCTATAGCGGCCTTTGTCACCCCTGCACTCGTCGAACGCGTTACCGTAGAACGCGGAACGCCGGCATCCCGCGTTTGACTCTTGCATTCGAACGCGCTCGACGACGAGTGCAGTGGAAACAAAGGCAGCTTTAGGTCTACCCCCTAATCCTTCCAATCAGAGCTCCGCGTTCTGATTTCCCCGCGCACTCTCCTGTCCTCCACTCCTACAGTTTCTCGGCGCATTGTCCTGGATGCTCGGCTTTGCTTATTTTTACTTTTATTTTTATTCAATGTTTTAGGTTATTTTATGCCATGAAGTGTGATAAGCTCTAGTAAAATGTCATCTGTGACTTTCCAAAAGGCAATCACAAATGACTACGGCATCTGAAGTGATTTGCTACCAGATTTATGATACGTGCCTGTTTCCGAGTTTTCTCCTTATAAAGGTTTTTTTTTTTTTTTTTTTTTTTCGAACTTAGATTTTTTTTTTTTTTTTTTTTAATGTTATGAAAGCTACACAAATGCAGTCTGCGGAACTGAGTTATACGGCCAGGCGGACATTATGTTCAAGAGAGAATGCAACTAATAAATTACTAATTAACGAAAATTCAGCAATTACTTTTTTTTAATTAGACGTTTTAGGGCACATGTTTCTATTGAAGAAAATGAGAAAAATGCAGAATTGCGCTACCGCTTTGTGCGCTGTGTTTGTTTTTGTGCCAGTAACGCCAATATATGTTATCGCCGATGGGACGAACTGAAATACCATCCCACACTCGCGGGTATGTGGTGCTCAGTTCGTTGGAAGGATATCCTCCAAGGAGGTTTCGTCCCCATCGTACGTGCGGATGATATTCCGGATCGGTATGGCATGGGGTTTGTACTTCCTAAAGAAAGGTTTGAACGGTACACAAAGTGAGAAATGTGAATCTAAGGAAAAGTACGACGAAACTTGGAATCACTGGGCAATCGACGTTTGAGCATGGCAGTTTAGGTTTCTTTTCCTTTTTGATCAGCCTTTTTTTTTTTTTTGACATGGAAATTGCTTTTTTTTACATGTGGGGTTGCCGGTAGGCAGTAGGTGACTGCAAAGCGAAACGCCGGAATCGTTTTCCAGCAAATTAATGCAAGATAGATGGTACTTCGCAGTCAAAAGAGGAAAAAATCATGATTAAAAAAAATTAAAAAAAAAGTCAAGTTATATATATATATATATATATATATATATATATATATATATATATATATATATATATATATATATATATATATATATATATATATATATATATATGACTTAAATAAACACTTTACGTAAAAAGTCATTTGTTATTTACTGGTCACTTTAACACGGAAAATTTATTCTACAATCCGCCCAATCACGGAAAACAGTATAAAAGACAATTTCGCTCTAAAATTAATTATATCGTGAAGTACAATGCCATTAAAAACTTGTTTCTTCATATATGAGAGCTCCATATACTAGAACAAAAGGAGCTTAATTTTATTGGTTATTGAGAACGCTTCATTTGCTATGGCCAGCAAGAAGCGTGCGGGAAGACAAACAAAAAGCAACGTAATAACGAGCTAGAACCAACGAGGTAACAAATTAGCGCACAAAACTAAAAGCACCTTTTGCAAATATTAAGAGAAAAACATTACGACGTACAAGCATATAACAAGCGCAACTCTCTAAGGGTTAGACTTTCTAAATCAATGTTATTGCTGCTAAGGCCATTTAACAACTGCGGGAGTGTGGAAATTATCATTTGAGAGCCATAATTTGTTCGCTGCGTGAGACCATCTTTCTTGGAAACAATTAAGTAACAAAAGTACTCATCCGAGGCCAATGGCTAGGATAGCTACGGTTTGCGAAAGGTATGTTGCTCATCAATCACACCAGGCGCGTTCGAGTTGCTAGCACTAACCCGAAACAGAGAAGAGACGCTTGCACCGGGGCAGAGTGGTGAACTCCCAGCATGTTTCCCATAAGCTGAACTCACAAATCGAATAATACCCTAGTTACACTAGTGCTCTCAACTGTCATTAAGCCAACGATTGTTGGCATGTCTCAACTGTCATTGAGCTCAACTAAGCTGTCCGGTGTTACACGGTACGTATGCCTAACAACCCCAGTTGAGATGCCCGTCAAGGGACACAGTTGAAACCGAAACGAAACCAAAACTGATGTCGCATCACTATTTTGTATTAAATTGCGATGCAAATGAAATATATGTACACAATTTATGCATTAGCGCTTAAAACAAAATAAAAAATATATATATATATATATTTATTTTTTTTTTTAGTAAAGAAACGAAAATTAGAACGTTTTACACGAATTCAAGCAAGAGAGGCGTAATAAAAGTATTATCGGCACCGACAGTACAATGGCCGCCGTCGCCGAGCTTTGGCTTCGACGACGTGCCGTGATCGTTCTAGTGGCAGCTCCGGTCCCGAATCATACCTCTTCGGAGAATATTTGCAGCTACGATACTTTCTAGATACCTCCCCCGATCGTACGCAATAGTAAGTGCTTCAGTGGCGCTGGCCATGGGCGGCGATGCGGCGGACGCCGCCATTTTTCGGTTTATTGAGGTGATTTTAGGAGTGTCGCGAACCGGACGAGGTTCGAGTTCAACCGGGTTCGACTTTTTCGACCTTTTAGTGGAAAGTTTGACGAACCTTGTATTGAGGTTCGTCGAACGAGGTAACAAATTAGTGCACAAAACTAAAAGCACATTTTGCAAATGTTAAGAGAAAAATATTACGACGTACAAGCATATAACAAGCGCAACTCTCTAAAGGTTAGACTTTCTAGATCAATGTTATTGCTGCTAAGGCAATTTAACAACTGCGGGAGTGTGGAACTTATCATTTGAGAGCCATACTTTGTTCGCTGCGTGAGACCATCTTTCTTGGAAACAATTAAGTAACAAAAGTACTCATCCGATCGTACGCAATAGTAAGTGCTTCAGTGGCGCTGGCCATGGACGGCGATGCGGCGGACGCCGCCATTTTTAGGTTTATTGAGGTGATTTTAGGAGTGTCGCGAACCGGACGAGGTTCGAGTTCAACCGGGTTCGACTTTTCGAACTTTTAGTGGAAAGTTCGACGAACCTTGTATTGAGGTTCGACTCGTATGCGCATGCGCGACAGGCTGGTCAGTTGGCTTCGGATTGGATGGTGATATGGCTAAGGGATAAATTAAGGTCAGCTCTGATCGGTTATTTCAGTTAATACAGTACAAAAAAAATGAAGTTATTAACTTCTGCAGTGATTACAGTTGGTTTATTTTAATTGCAACTGTTTATAAAATAAAATAACCTTTTGCATAAAAAAACAATTCTCCAAACCAAGACATGCTTATATCAAGGTCTGGCCACACTGTCCGCAAAGTCGAACCGGTCGAATCTGGTGAAAAGTGTGAAGGTTCGTCGACCGGTTCGACCCAGTCGAACCCCGAAAGTTTGACCTAAAAATCCGGTTCGACAAAAGTTCGCGACACCTCTATTTCTACCTCTACCCAGTGCCTCAAAGTTACACTATGCCTGTCAGCTTCTCTCCAAGAGGTGTACAGGCCCGATGCTTCACCTCACAACACGCACGTACGGCTATGTAGCGCCGCCTGGCGGACGTTCGTTTTTTTCTATTTTTCTAGCATGTTGTATTTACATCATTATTGAAGATATATCATACATCTGTTTTTTCAACAACATGTGGAACACTTTTCTAGATGTGACCGCCCTGATTCAAACGAGTTTCGCTGAGACAAAATACGAAACTACGAAACAAGCACGGCCAGAATGTGCCTTTGCAGCGCGAACGCGGAGAACCTTGGCCCCTTGACCGTCTGCTTCGGCGGCAGTTTGGAGCTTTGGCGGTTACTTTGAATCGCGCACATAGAGATAATTGGCGCCGTGTCGTGTGCGGGTGAAAGGTAGGAAAATACGAAATATTATTCCGTTGAAAACGGCGAGCTGCTCCCGAGCTCTAAACTGTTGGTCAAGGACGTTTAGATTTCTTGCTGTCGGTGCTGCTGGGGCGACACTCCTACGGAAGAGATGGTTGGCTTCACCCAACGTTACTAAAACCTCACCATTGAAACCTGGGCCGCTGGCGTCCCCCGAGACCGAGCTAAATACGATAACAGCGCCACTCTTTAGAGACGAGCTGAAACATGAAAGTTGCTTTACATAGCTACTGTGAGATGGCCCTGCAAGATGGCGCCACCGGCCCTTACCCGACTAGACGTGTAGCCGTGCGGTTCCCGGAGTGGACGCTGCGGGAGAAATGGCGGCGTTGCGATCGCGTTAGCTGGGCTGTCGAGTACGGATCAGAGCCACTTTTTAAAGCAGGCTCTATGGCAGTTTCCCAACTGAGTGGTTCTAGTAACCTTGGCTTCACTACACGGCAGGTTTGTACGCCTAGGTAGCTTCATCGCACGGCAGCCACTCGTCCTATTTGCCCTCTCTCTTCCGCTTGCCAGTGCTCTGAGCCGACAGGCATTGTGTAACTATATAGGAGGCGCTGCCTGACCAGTTATACTCCGTTTCACCTAATGTTGTACCGCAGCAAAGGCTAGAAGCGCGAGCTCATAGCGTTGGCAGCTGCCCATATTAATACACGAGAGCTTGTGCCGCCGAGATATGCTCCTAGAGCAAGGAGCTCGTGCTTGTATTCTTCCCTGCAGTTCATCATAAGGTGAAATAGAGTATAACTGAGGTAGGCCAGCTCAATGGAACTCAATGATTGTTAGCAGCTGAATGACAGTTGGCGCCGCCGTGTAACTCCGACCTATTGCGATTGAGTCAACTGTCGTGGGCTTAATGACAGTTAAGTTTCCAGTTTTTTACGTTTCCAGGGTCTACACCGGTGCCGGGCACTGAAGGTAAATTGAGTGTGCTTATTGATTCTATGTTAATTGTGAGAGTGTCGGTGAGTGTGGCTTTGAGAGTAACAGAACCCTTGAAACGTTTTGACCACAACTACTTGAGTGTGTTGTGGAGCAATTAGCACGTAAAACGTGATTCTAAGCGTCGCACTGCTAACCTTGATTTCGTATGATTTCGTGGGAAAATCTGCTAGTGGATTTAAAGCGATCCAAAAGCGCTCCTCGCACGCGCCTTGAGAGCAAGTGGTAAATGCTAGCTCACGCGTGCACGCGCAAAAAGATGCCAACCAAAGAGAGTTCCAAAATCGCTCCCGGTCCGCCAGCGGAATTACCCATAAATCATTTTGCTCGGCCTGGTCTGCTCTAGGTTTTTCGCACAGAAAAGTAGGCGAGCGAACCATTTCTTTGAATATAAGGCACATAAACGACACTTTCAAGCACCCTGCCCAACTTTTGCGAATATATTTCGACAGAAATCTGTCAGAGCCGGAAAAGCGAGGCCAGCTGGCGCTGCACGTTCTTGCCTTGGCCGCCGCTTGTCAGAAACCCGTGGACTCCAATGGCCGTGACCTGGCCGCGATTCTTCGAGAGAAACCACCGGTAGGCACGACACGCAACCGCTTCTCGCAAGCACTCGAGTTGCTGGCGCTTTGCGCTCTGGGCCACCGAGAACAGCACCTCAAAGACATGGCGCTGGAAAATGTCATGGAACTGGAACGGCAAGGCGCCGGTGAGTTTTGTGTGTGCGTGTGTGTAGCGGATATGGTCACTTAACAAGTATTGGCTCTCTTCGATTGTGCGCTCAACAGAGACCCGAAAAGCTCGATGTACTGGCGCTGAGAAGCTTTGAAGTCATTCTCTACAGAAGTTTTCTCGAAGCAACGATCATCCGACTTCTTCCTTCGTTTAAAGAAACAACAAAAACAAACAAAAAAACGACGGTGCAAGTGAGCTAGTGAAAGTTAAACATGGTGACTATACCCAAGACGGGTTTTCGGAAGGACGAGAACCACAGAAAATGTTCTGTGTTTGTGAGGCGTGCTTCAGAAAATCCCAGTCGCGGGTAATGTCAAGATGTATACTCAAGTTCAAACTCTTTCTTTTCCTCCAGTTTGGAAAGGGAAGGCAGTAAAAAAACAAAGAGCAACTAAGGTGTTGCTTTAGAAGCCTCCGCTTGCTTCCACAGCAGCAGCAAAAAGCAAAAAAAGAAAATACAAAGTTTGCAGCTCAGCAAGGATATCAAGATAAAAAAATTATACAATCAACTTACAACTTAAGTATACAAAAAATCCATTAAAAATATTATGAGCAAAAACACAACACGCATTTTTCACACTCTCCCATATAATGTTCATATTCAGTTCACCACAACAATGGAAAAGTCGGGCAAGGGTATATTTTAACATTTGATCACCAGAATATGTTCTGGAGTGCAGCACTAACCAAGTATCCATAGAGCGAGTGTTGTAAACCATTTCCCTAAGCCAAAGGTTGGAAGCCGATAGGAGCAAATAGTCATTGTAATTGAAAGACTTTTTATGTGTAAGAGCTCAATTACAACTATAATAATTAGGAATTTGTTCGATATTGAGTTTATTAAAGAGCGGCCTAGTGTGACTATCTTTGGTAGCATGACATATAGTACGAATGACTCTATTTTGCAGGATGTTAATTTGTTTGATATTTGTTGAGGTTGCATTACCCCACACCAGGGATGGGCAAAATACATGCAAATATGTATTGAAATACAAATACAAAATACTTTATCAAAAATGTATTTAGTTACAAATCTAATTACATTTCCAAAAAAGCATTTAAGTACAAGATACAAATACAACCAAATGTATTTGGTCTCCTCCAAATACTTTTCCAAATACATTTTTCAAAATTTGCGTCAGCGACTTCAGGGCACCTGCGACGGGTTTCTGGGTATCTCATTTTTATTTTGCATCGCACACTCGGGAGTGTGTGTGCGAGGCTCTAGTAACGTAACAGAAATATAATCACAAAAAAAAATTTAATCAGCTTGGACGTAATAGGTAAAAAAAGTACAGAGCTTCAAGCAGCTTTTTTTGTCGATCACATTTTGGTATAGACCAACAAAGAACCGAGACGACCAAGACGTGCAGCACTAGCTAGAGAATTTTTTATTGTTGCAACTCGCATCAGTAACGAAAATCTGGACGATTCGCACATTTAGAATGTTCCAGGCAAAAATAAGGATGGAAATCAGGCTAGAACGCATCACAAGTTGTCCTGGGCACTTATTTAGCCAGTCTGCCTGTGAATGTCGATTTCGTCACTATTCTTGCCCTGGACTAGCAACGTAATCACAAAGTCACTAAATGCTTGTGCTTGATTGAGAGGCACTGCATTCGGCGCAGAACATAGTTTTCTTCTTCCTCCCTACAGTGCCTTTAAAATAAGGCCGGAGGAGAAAAAGAAAAAAGCCCCATGGCCGAATAAAGGATGGAGACTATATTATACAACCACATGCATAAAAACAAGAATTATCGTGACAATAAATTTGAGGGATGTATTTTCGCCCACAAAGTTGTATTTAATTACAATTGTATTTGAAATACCCATGTTTTAGTATTTAAATACACACGTCAAATATTTTACCCAATTTATAATTATATACAAATGCAAAATACACAAAGTATTTGAAATACATATTTCAAATACTTGTACTTGAAGTACTGCCCATCCCTGCCCCACACCAAAAAGCAATAATTAAATTGCGCTTAAAAAAGAGAGTTTTAAATGAGTTTCAAAGCCTAATTGGGTTGTACGTCTATATTTGTACATCAGGCCGACTACCCTCGAAAGTTTCTTACACGTATGGATGAATCATTTCGGTCCCAAGCCATATGGCTGGTTAAAGATTACTTCTCAAACTTTTATGTTATCGACTAAATTGATAACATAATGTTTATTTTGCGATCTAAATAAGACGTCCTTAGTATTACCCACATTTATTTCTAATGAATTTGAAAGTGCCCATGGATCAAGCTTAGTCAGAAAACTATTCGCGTCGCTGATAATTTCATTCGTTTCAACTCCCGAGAAAAATATTCTCGCATCATCTGCATAAGCAATATAGCTAAATAAACAAGTACAAGGCACGTGCGAAGAAAGCCTGGCATCTTAGTGCGTGTGCTCCTGCCAGGAAACGATTGTCGAGGCTTTCACGTGCTTTTCGCCGCCTATATTCTGTTTCACCTTATGATGTACCGCAGGGAAGGCTACAAGCGCGAGCTCCTTGCTATAGGGCACATCTCGGCGGCACAAGCTCTCGTGCACCAAGGGCAGTTGCCAAAGCTATGAGCCCGCGCTTCCAGCTTTCGCTGCGGTACAACATAAGGTGAAACGGAGTGTAGAGTAACACGCTTTAACAAATATCTTACTAGAGCACCTCTAAACCAAGGCCTAGGGAGAGATAGTGCCTTGTTTCGTAAAGTGTATCGTCTGCATAAACAGGAGCTCTTGACAGAGGTATGGTCCGCTCTATTAGCGTTGGTTCAACCGAATGTATATACTGTTAGCGCTTACACGAAAAATAGCAGAATTCCCTCGTGCATTTCTGGTGAAGCATAGCGGTCTTCTATAATATCCCTAAGTCTTAAACCGCATTTTTTCCTAGCTTTCCTGGCGGACTCACTGGCCATAAATATCCTGTCAGCCGTGTGCCTGGAGGATGGAAATACCGACGCGCTGCCGACGCCCATCATGAACGCCGTCAGGCAGCTGGCAGGGATGCAGCTGTCCAACGGTAGCTTCGGCAACCTGCACACCTCGGCGCTTGTCACCCAGGTAGGGGCCACTCCCTTCAGGGGTTGCATTGAGCACTGGTACCGAAAGGTGCCCGGAAGCGCCGGGGCCGGCAACAAGCCACCTCGACATCTCGACCCCTCTTCGGTGGTTGCAGGAGAAGGGAGGGTTTCGGTCACGCGCCAGACGTATATTTTGCGTGTTTCGTTCCTGATGACAAGAGGTCATGATTCTGCGTCTAAAAATACAAAAATACTACTGAAACTTTTTACTGTTCCCTGTTTTAATTGCGAAGAGTCTCAAAAACCTCGAGAAGTTTTTAAAAAAATCTCAGTAGACTTTTTTTGTTTTTTTTTTTGCAGGAAATGTGTATAGGTAGTCATTTTCCGAATGTAAAATCTCATGCCGGAAGAATCCCTTTTCTCATCTTCGTGTCAGCTCGACATCGCCGACACCAAACTTGTTCAGCCTGTTTAGTTCGCTTTTAGCGACCTGAAGCACCTCTCCAACGTGTGAGTTTATCGGCACGTCTGGCGCGATATCATCGACGAATACCGATCGTTAAACACCAACTGAACACTCCCATCGGTCTTCGCTTCAGACAAAAATGGAAGATACAAAACAGACTCGCGGATAGCCATGTCCGCCTGACCCTGTGGCATTTGTATCCCGCAGGTATCATCACTCGCTCCGCACCTTTCTCGCCTATACTTATCCGGGCAATCCGATGATTGATAGGGACTTTTCTCCAGGGCGGGCTCCGAGAGCAACCCGCCGCGGCGCATAGCGGCCCGCCATTCGGCCCTCGCTCCGCTGTGTGCGCAGGCGCTGTGGGCTGCAGACCCCGAGGAAAGGCTGCCTCGGTGGAGCAAGGCGAAGGCCATGCGTTTCATCCTGGCCGCCCAGGAGGAAGAGGGTCACTTCGGCAACCTCCTGGCCACCTTTCAGGTGGCGCCCCTCCTCGCCGGCAAAACTCTCGCGGGGGTAGCCAGCCATCACACTTCGTTCTGCAAAGCTAAGGCCGGACTCGAAGACTCAGCTTCTGGTACGAGACCAAGTCCTCACTTCAAAAAGAGAGCCCCTTGGGAAAAAGCAGTCCACTAAAGTCACAGTCGCACCGCTCCTATTACATCGGACAAAAGGCACGCTGTTTGCTGCAGATGATGCCAGAATTACCTGCGGACATGCCTCAATCACGTTCGAAGAACGTTTGCTTCATACATTTATACGCTTCGAACATGTCTGCCGACAATGTTTGTATGGTCAATCTGACCGTCACACGAGGAACACCTCAGACTGTCCGCAGACTGTCTTTTGTGCGATGTTTTAGCAGCGGAACCGCGTTTTAAGAGAATATTATTACTCCCTGAACGCTTTTATGAAACGAAAAAGTGCACCTTGAGTATATCTCGAGTGTAGTGCACTACACTCTAGAGTAGACTTTTACCATACTTTTGATGCAGTCTTAGTGGCGCGCTGCGCGCGCGTATGAGCCTGCAGTCTTAGCCGCTTTAATCCGGCCGTTAGGCATGGACACTCTTGAAGTATATTTTAGATGGTTAGTAAACTCGAAATATTCTTTGAGTATACTTTCCGCAGTATACTTCTTTTTTTTTTTTTTTTTGTACAAAGTGTAGATTTACAGTTGGTATACATTTAGTGCATCATTTTCTCCCAAGAGTTCGTGTTCGAAACAGGGCTCACAGTCTGCAGGTAAGTTGAAATAGTTCCGCCCTGCCCAACAAATGTCTAAAAAAAAAAAAGATCTTCGACGCCACTTAAACAATACTCAAATACTCTTTTCATATAATTTCAATGAACATGAGTCACGACTTCGCACACCTATCTATATAGATATTTACATATCTATCTATATATCTACGCACGCAAACTGCACGGCACAACTAGCCCGAACACGACATCGATTTCTTCTATGCCATTGTATCTCTACAGAGTAATGTATATCAGCATATTTTATCATCAAAATTTGAGTTTTGAGTCTTATTATGCCGCGGGATCGACTAAGCTCCCGACGCAATTCAGTCGGTTAAAGGGCAACTCAGGTCGAAAACGAAACCAAAATAAATAGGCAGTTTTAGGGAACCGCTTTTGCACATCCGATACGGTACGACAGGCCCTCTGGTACGAACTGCGCATGCGCGTCCACAGAAGACTCGCACATGCGCAGTTCATACCGGAGGACCCGTCCTACCGTATCGGATGTGCAAAAACGGTTCCCTAAAACTCTCTAATGACTGATACCGCTTTATGGGCACGAAATATAATCACAACCCAAATATTGAGTTGCTTTTGGTCAAGCAACACTGGGCGACGCATACCGCAGCACCACCGTGACGTCACGTCTTGGCCGTACAGCTGACAATCAGTGTTGCCATCTCTCTCTATCTGATAGTTTCGGTTTTGCCGTAAACGCCCGAAGCCAAACTTTGAGCCGTGATATTTATAAAACTGCACAAAGTATCTAACAAAACTAACCTTGTAATTCAGGGACACTGACTGAGCTGAAAACAGTCGTAATCCCAAATGCGAAAATATTGACCGGAGTTGACCTTTAAAGGGAGCCAACTGTTTCAGGGGGAAAATGTTACGACAATTAATATAGAGCAGCATCAAAAAAGTGCGGGAACGCCCCTCACGATTGCAGCTTCCAAAGCTTTGTAATAAGGGATCGTGCTAGTTAAACTTAATCGTATTCCGGTAAAACGTATTCTCGAAAGCCATATTTACAATGCACCCTTTTTTTCTTTCTTTTTTTTTTCTTTTTTGGTCGATGTTTATTTAGTGTTCAGTATTTTATGTTACAATTATAGTATACGCTCAGAGTCCCGGCCCTTCAAAGGTTTCCCCTTTCATCTGCATTCCACTTAAACCTCTACGCCAGGAGTCTCCAAACCCCGGCCCACTGAGGTCTCCTAACCGGCCCGTGCTTACCGTGGTCCTTCCAACGAAGCCCAGCCCGCGGCCCGCTTCTAAAGCAGGCCCGCTGCTACTGGGGCAAAACACATAAGCGCGCGGGGCTAAACTCCATGGGACGAATATACTGCGAATAACCGACGAATTTTGCCCTGCGGCGTTTACTCTGCGCGTGGAATCAACACAGTGGCTGCTACGTTGCGCGCGAAGCGAGCGTGCCGTCGGGCGGCGTTCGCTCGTTCCATGGAGTTCAGCGCCGCGACGCGTATACCAGCCGCGCAAACCAACTGATACCGCGGAAAGAACGAAAGAAAACTGCCTATCGTAACGCGAGTCCTCTCGCCATATTAATAATTAGATATTGTCATCACCCCTGTCACCATTCTTAGTCCCGTTTTATACCCAACTTTGTGTATGAAAATCTCGTTGCGTTCTCGGTATATTGTGATTATAGTGTCCTGTGTCGTAACTCTTGCATATTGTTAGCATCAGTTCCACCATTCTCGTTCGTATTTTTCATTGCGTAAGTATGCCAAAGTTTGATTGCGCTTTATTTTATGCTCCGTGAGTTTTATGGGTTCCAAGTATTGCGCAATGTCATGAATCACTGAATATTGGATTTCAACATAAAGACATCCATCTTCGTTTTTTTTTCAAACTTTTTATTTATGACCTTATTTATAATTATTTATTTAATATTTACTCATTTATATTCACTCGTTTATCTTCTGACCCTCCAGTCTGCTACAGGTTCTTTTTCCGACCCCTTAGCCAAAAAGTTCGGAGACCCCTGCTCTGCGCGCTTCATGCCCCTCTTTCAGTTGTCCGGGGAAATATTTTCCGGTCGCTTTATTGCTCCCACTTTATCTCGAGGAAAAAACGGTTCTTGTAAATTGAATTGGTGGACCACAAACGCAACATCTGCGCTTGACAGACTCTAAAAAGGATCGACCGTGATTATGCGGGAACAACGTTTACAAGGATCAGACTGAAACATCGTCACTGTTGTTGAAGGTCCAGCTCCAGACCATCATTCCTTGCGAATGAGTATAAGGGGCTCCCACGAATGTGTATAGAGTCCCTGTGGAACCCAGGAGATAAGCAGCATCCCGCGACTCTGTTTACCGCTAAGCTGACAGGGCGGTGAAAGTATGCACGGTCGCCGGTCCAATCAATCGTCTGCCTTTAGTCGCCGGGCCCTGGTCTCTGCGCTTGAGTGTATGTATATGCACGGAGAGGGAGATCACGCAGTCCAATGCCGACGCCGGACTGGTCCAACGAGCACGTCTTCCACCACCCTGCCGGCTTAGCGGTCTAACCAAGTATCAAGTTTTTTGGTTTTGTTTTTCGGTTTTTATCCTTTTCTGATGCAATGCGCGTGTGTCCTCGTGGGCGTGTAGTCGCGTTCGTGCGTGAATGCCTGTGTGTAATATGGGGGATCTTTACTAGGGTGATTCGAATTAATTCCCAACACTGTGCGATTGATTTGGTCGTTGAGTGCAGTTATCCTTGTGGATCAAAGGATGACCAATAGGTGGCAGCGTGTTGCTGCAACACAGAAAAAGCAGCGTACAGCACAAGAATGGCCGCCCCATTGTCGACATGCACCGCAATACAACAGCGATCCGTAATGCGCTTTATATATATATATATATATATAGTAGTGAAGGTGTTCAATTAGATGAAATGCAAAGGGGGTAATTTTGGAACATTACAAGCAAAGGGGAGTAACAATGACCAGTACTTTCACGCAGATCTGCTAAAGGTCACCTTCGCCCTGCAATCAGGAGTAAAAGACGACGACTTCTCACTTCAGGTAGATTGTTACAGCATGACAACGCCAGGTCCGAAACTGCCCGTTCAACGTCACCGGAGAAAAGCTCACCAGAAAAAAAGCTCACCCACTTTAGTACGTGGGTCCGGAGAAAAGCTCACCGGCCTTTTGTCAGACCCGGAGAAAAGCTCCCCTGGAATTAAATTTTTATGTAAAGTTGTCGTTATCATTGAAAAGCGGTAGTGCTACCAAGATTTAGGCTCCTCTCACGCAGGTGGAACACTGTGCAACACAATTAGCGCAAAGTGATTCTTCGTGTTTTACTTAGGGAAGGGGTTGACCCGCGCAAAACTTTTATCGCATACGTTTGTGCCCCAAAGGAGAAATTTCCGCGCAGCGTGCGCACTTCCCATCAAGTCGCTCTGCTGTATCCAGGATAGACAAAACACTAATAAAAAATTCAGATTAAAAAAAAGTCAAATTCTTTGAGTTAAATCAGATTAATTTAATTTAAATCACTGTACCTAAAAAAAAATATTGTTTATTTATGACTAAATGCGTTTTTAAACACGGCATGGTTGTTCGTTCTATTCTACCAATCCGTGGAAACATACAAAAAAAAAAACGATTACTGCTACTTTCGCAACTCTTTGATCATGAAAATCCCGGCATATAGTAACAAAAACAGAATTTTTTTTTTTTTTTGCGATTTGATTTTTTTATACGCCATCCCGGTTTTCGTTTTCATCTTTCGAGTTCTGATTTGATTGCAAAAAGATGTGACGTGACTGGCGAACGAAGTCGAAGGTAGCAATAAAACTCGACGCATCGATTTGTTCCGAAGACTCCTGTTTTTTTATCCTGTTCAGCCGTATATAAATACTCCTCGTGTGACGACTCTTGGGTTCCAATACAGAGCATAGTCGCATAAAAAGCATCATATCATAAACAACCGGTAAAGAAAAAAAATATTTTTGAGATTGTTTTTGCGGGAAAGCTTCGATTTAAATCAGGGGTTTCCGAAGCCCGGCCCGCGGGCCAAATCCGGCTCGCGCGAGGTCTTGGCACCGGCCCCTGGCTAGCCGCGGTACCTGCCAATGAAGCCCGGCCGGCGGCTCGCTTTCAGGAGTACCGCTGCCGCCGGCGCAAAACATAAGCGCACGCAAAGAAACGGCGTCACAACGCGCACACCAACCGCGTAAACAAAGATACAAGAAGAAAAAAGAAAAGAGAAATCTGCCCATCGATAAGGCGTGTTTTCTCGTCGTATTATTCATTGGACATTCTCATCACCAGCAGCACCATTCTTCGTCCCTTGTTTTCATACATCTGTGTAACTACGTATGCTAAAATTCCTTGGCGTTCCCATGTATATCGCGCCTCGTGTCCTGTGTCCTATCTATTGCATATTGTCAGCGCCAGTTCTCTCCTTCCCATGAGCCTTCCGCCCCTACGTGAACATTCCAAAGATTCCATGCACTCTGATTTATGGCTTGCGAGTTTTCTGGTTTCCGATTTTTGTGGAATGTCATAATTAGCTAAATATTGAATTTCAAAATAAAGTTACTATTTTCATCACCCACCTTATATTTTTTTTTTCTTTTACTCTAACTTTCAACTTTGTATTAGATATTAATCTAGAAGTATTTACTAGTTTTGTTTTATTTATGGATTATTCGGCTCTGAGACAGCAACAGATACCCGATCCGGCCCCTTATCCAAAACGTTTGACGACCCCTGATTTGAATCATCCTAATAAAACCGTTCCGATTTTAATCATGATCTAAATCACCTTGATTTTTAATTAATCTCCTCCTCGCTGTAGCCCTCGTTCCGCTTTTATGTCAACCCACTTCGCATGCGTGTTATCATATTTAATTTTGACGTAGCCGGGATAGAGAAAATACGACCTTTTTTTTTTAATTTTCCGTTCGAATGATATGAGAATTCAAACCTTGTTATAACCCCTTTTCCCCCCGCTATTTTTGTTTTATTTCTTGGAAGCAGTGTTCTTTTAAAATTATTTATTTCATTTTCGTCCAGCAACGCCTCACGCGTTTTAAATAAATTCTGCTAGTGAAGTGCAAGATAACTTTTACATAGCATAAGGAATCCCTAGAATAGGATGCCTTATGTTAGAATGCGCATAAGGCATCTTAGCGTACCTGAGTTGAGTGACCGTTTTTCATTTGAATGAACGCTCGATTTGTAGTACTCTAACTTTCAACTTTGTATTAGATATTAATCTAGAAGTATTTACTAGTTTTGTTTTATTTATGGATTATTCGGCTTTGAGACAGCAACAGATACCCGATCCGGCCCCTTATCCAAAACGTTTGACGACCCCTGATTTGAATCATCCTAATAAAACCGTTCCGATTTTAATCATGATCTAAATCACCTTGATTTTTAATTAATCTCCTCCTCGCTGTAGCCCTCGTTCCGCTTTTATGTCAACCCACTTCGCATGCGTGTTATCATATTTAATTTTGACGTAGCCGGGATAGAGAAAATACGACCTTTTTTTTTTTAATTTTCCGTTCGAATGATATGAGAATTCAAACCTTGTTATAACCCCCTTTTCCCCCCGCTATTTTTGTTTTATTTCTTGGAAGCAGTGTTCTTTTAAAATTATTTATTTCATTTTCGTCCAGCAACGCCTCACGCGTTTTAAATAAATTCTGCTAGTGAAGTGCAAGATAACTTTTACATAGCATAAGGAATCCCTAGAATAGGATGCCTTATGTTAGAATGCGCATAAGGCATCTTAGCGTACCTGAGTTGAGTGACCGTTTTTCACTTGAATGAACGCTCGATTTGTAGATTCGTAGGTGAGCTTTTCTCCACATCCGTCAAAAATTCGGTGAGCTTCTCTCCGCGTCGGACCGTTTTGCGGTAAGTTTTCTCCGGTGTCCGCTGAGCTTATCTCCGGTGACCTTCTGTCCGCTGAGCTTTTCTACGGTGAGCTTTACTCCGCCGCCCGAATGTGCGTCTCACCCACTTTTTTCACCCGACCTCGCTCCCAGTGACTTGTATGTGTCCGGACGATTTAAAGAAGCGATGGGAGGCAAGCATTTCCGAAGCAATGTTGAGTAAAAAATCGCGATGCAGGAATCACAACCATAAAATTCTTATCGCGAGGTATTCACGCACTTAAATACGCGCATTGCACGTCATGGTAACTAAGTCTAAAAATTATATATGTATATAATAGTTTTTTTTGTATTTTCTCATTTGGCTTTTTGCTGTATACTTAAGGTTTTCACTTGAATCACCCTCGAAGTTTGGCTTTCAAACTTGTAATTCAATGCGTGTCAATTATAAGTAGTGACAAAATACATCAGCGCTCTTAGCTACTAAAAAAGATAATTTGCAGTGAGTACTCCTATGTACATCTTTTAAATTCTAGATAAAGGAGCCGTGCAACAATACCGGATTGAAATATTTCTCAGTTTGCACAAGAATACTGGTCCTGGTGCGGATCCAGATATACACCATTGCAAGCAGAGCAGCTCGCCGCCGCCATGTCTTTGCTCGTGTGGGGCAGCAAGAGTAATTGCAAGCCTATAAAAGTTACCTTCACATGCATGATGTACCTGCCTGCAAGCATCGTGTGCCAGCCGTAACGTCATATATCGAATACGCCCCTTACTAAATTACTCAAGCATCATGTAGCAATCTGGAAGAGTAGTTAGAAGGGATGAGTTTGATGGCATATGCAATAGTATTCGTGTTCTAACATCCAAAACTGTGACACAAATGGAACTTAGGACGCCCGTTCGTAAACGAGTTATTTTTATTATATACCTCGAATCTTTCATACTGATAAGGTGAGCGCGTGAAGCCCGGGTACCTACATTCCCAGCATTCTTGTTGGTGCTTGTGTAACTTAGCGAAAGGCCTTTTGTTTACACTCGCAAACAACTCCACTGCCACAGAAGCCGCTTGGTGGCGGTGTAACTTCAGGGATAAATCGGACTATTTCTCTCAGTCTTTCTTTCGTAAAGCTTGATGACGCTGCCGTGGGAACCGCAATGCTTACATCGACGCGAGTATCAAGTCGAATGTGATTCGTCGGGAAGAGACAAGCACTCCGTGAGCCCTCGACTTTTGCCAGGAATAGCCGAACTTTAACAATGTCCGGAGCGCAGCACGTGCACCGTACTTTCCCATCCCCAGCGCGTGGCTACGATCAACGTGGGCTACAATTATGATTACACTTAGTTTACTAGTATTCAATTAGATTATTTGATTACTTGAAAAGAAACTTAATTGGCCGTTACTTGAAAAAGTAACCGCTACTTTTCTGACTGCTTCGGATTTTCCGAAAGACAGATTGCCTGCCTGTTTGAAGACAGTTCTTTCTTGCTGTCCATTATTAGAGAGTTTTAGGGAACCGTTTTCAAACACCCGATACGGTACAATGGGCCCTCTTGTACGAACTGCGCATGTGCGAGTATTCTGCGATAGCGCATGCGCAGTGCGTACCGGAGGCACCATCGTACCGTATCGGACGCGCACAAACGGTTCCCCAAGACTCCCTAATATTTAATCATAATCACCGAAGCTACTTTTGTTCTCAATCCACTAAAGTCAGTAAATTCTCCTCCTGTCGGAGACTTGGTTCGAGGATTTCTAGGTATGAGACTCGTGCAAACAAAGGGTGTCGTTAGAAAGGGAAGGAAAAGATTGTGACGGTTACAAGTAATTTTAGTTTTTCCAAAGGTAAAAACAGACTACTCTTAGGATTACTTTATAATAAATGTATTCGACCGATTACAAAGAATTACTCCAAAAACTGATCGATTACAAGTAATTTGATTACTTGACATGAGTACCGTACAAGTCTGGTTTACATGGATGCAACCATAGCACATCGAATCAAGATTTGACTTTTTTGATTGGTAGCATATATGATTAGAAGAGGAAGAAGTAGGGAGACGGCATGCGTGTGATTTGTCCCTGCTCGATCCGATGGGCTACGATCGCATCCATGTAAAGCCAGCCATTGGCGGCATATAATCGGCACTAGATCTCTTAACCGCTTGTTCATGTTCCAATTTGATGAAGTGAACGCTGCTCGCTTTTCTCAAATATGTTCTGCGGCTGGCATTGGGTTAAGAGAAAAGCTGAGGCGTGTTTTTTAGCAAGATCCAGCAGGGGACAAAAAAAGTAACCGGTTCAAACTGGTATGAGATTATCTTTCAGTCATATCACATACAAGTGCTCCAAACGAAAGTGAGATGTTCTGAGGTCACGTCCGGCTTGTGCAGGGCCCGACGCCGGACGCATCTCCGTGTGGTATTCTCTGTGGATCGGCGACGCGGCCACCAATCGTTCGAGCATCACGGTATGGGTACGACCAAACGCGACGTTCTTCGACGTGGTGCAGGCAGCAGCCGAAAAGGACCCTAGGTTCAGGTGCGTGTCCGCAGTCCACGAGAAATTGTCTCTCATTCCAATGTCACTCTATCGGGAATGCAAGTGTCAAGTTAGCGAATGGGCGCCATCGTGGTCCTTGACGTGACGTAACCGTCCATCCGATCTTTCGGAAGCCACGTCACCTCAGAGGCACAAAGAGGGTTCATATATTACAAACTGTTACCAGAGGTACCGCACCGCAGCGCATTACCTACGAAGCCAATCTCCGAGCAGGCGTGGGTTGGCGCTATTGGGCACTACAGAATGGCGTCAGCCCATCGACAGCAGTGAAATCTGTCGTCTACAAAACAGTCTCCTACTCGGAAGGGGATTGAACCGTTGCATCCTTACCGGCTGAGCTGAGAGCTAAGCCTGTGGGGAAAACAACACCATTATTTGCATGCGTTTAATTCGGATGTAGCACTCGGCTGCTGACCTAGACGTATTCCGCGTCATGGCTCGGCTGAGGCTCGTGTTCAATCAGCGAAGCACCTATCTGAGACGAATCCTAGTCGAGCTCTGACGCAAAGCTCGGGTCCAATCTGTGCCTCGCGCTCGATCGAGGAAACTGACGTCAAGGGTCCAATCCCCGGTCATTGTGTTGGAGAAACACCGAGCTCTCTGGAAAAGAAGTAGAGTGACTCAGTGTTGCTGGGCTGGCGGCCCTACCGAGTGAGGACAGCTCTGTCGTCTGCTAGCCAAACCGCCATCTTTCCTCCCAGTCATCTGTAGCCTTTTGGGCTACCATGAAGTTTTCCGTCAGAAGTGCGTTTGTTTTTGTTGCTGCATCTAATGATAATGCGTAACCAGTGTACAAATAACTGCATTTGCGACGCTTCGTTGCATTACCGAGTCGATAAAGCCTCTACTTGGAATAGTTTATTCCGAACTTAACGAGTACTTCCTAATTCAGCATTTTCACTGGCACAAGTCGATCGACTGGTATTACGTATACGAAGTTGCCATATCGCGGAAGGCAACATGGTGGCCGCGGCCGAGAAGCTCGGCTCTTGCCTTCCCAAAGGATGTCGCCATTCTAGCAAGGCGCAGTCAGCAAGCAACTTCGAGGCACTTTGAGAACAAGCAGGTTCTGGGAGAACATTGATGCACAAGGAAGAAAAACAGAAGGGTTTCATTTTTCATTAACCACACATGACGGAATAAGTGTAGAGAGCGAGAACGCAAGGGAATGTATTTCAAGAACAATCGAGGCAACATTCACAGAACTTGAACCAAACGAGATTGGACAGAACACTGACAGCAACACGGCACAAAACGAAAACACTAACGAGACAACTGAGCCGACTACGGGGGAATGGGACAGAGCAGAAAGTAGAGTACCGGCTGGAACGGCGACAGGCCCAGATGGCATAGGAATGATACTAGTCAAGACACTAGGAACAAAAAGCAAATTAAACTTAAGGCAGGCAACTCATCAATAATAATGGAAAAAAAGGTATCCAATGATTGGAAACTTACCAGAATGGAATTACTATATAAAGGCAAGGGAAATAAGATAGCATAACATCATACCGAACAGTAACAGTAACTTCGGCCCTCTGCAGACCTTTGAATTTAGTAAAAAGAATAAGAAAGAAATCGGCATAAAACATTTTAGGTGAGGTAAAAAACGGGTTCCAAAGAGATAGGAGATTAGATGATAACTTATTCATCATTACTCAATGTATAGAGGTGGCACGGATGAGTGAAAAACTTGTTATTAATAGCATTTCTAGACATGAACGGGGAATACGACAACGTGAGTCGGAAAAAAACCCTGGGTACAGCTGAGAGAGTTTGATTTAGGCTTTTACAACAGGTACACACACATAATAGGGTTGTTATAACACGAGAAGAAGAAATAACAGAACTGGTAGGAATAAAAAGAGGACTCAGGCAGGGTTGTCTCCTATCGGCTATTTTTTTTATGATGTACCTGAGTAGAATGGCTAGGATTTTAGAATAGTGCAATTCATGTTTTGGCGTATCATATATGGAGACAGGGGGACAAATAAACCAAGTTATACCACGAATGGTCTACGCAGAAGACATTGCACTGTTAGCAGATAGCCGGGATGGGTTGCAGGAGCTGATTAAGATCTGTGCAGAGGAAGGAGACTCTCTGGACCCTGAAATTCAGTAGCGACAAGTCGGCAATATTGGTTTATAACGATGATAATGAAACTTCAAGATGTTCTAATAGAGAACGCAGAGAGGAATAAATATCTGCGAGTATGGCTGAATGAGGGAAAACCATACTCAGAAGAACATGAAGAAAATATGCTAAAGAAATGAAAAAGGATTCCAGCAATTATGAAGCGCAGGGCACTATGGAATTACAATAGATGTGAAGTTCTCAAAGAAATATGGGTTTTTTTGGCAATGCAGTCTTATGCATGAAATCTAAAGTCCAGTCGAGTTTAGAAAGACGGCAGAGGAGCGTGGGCAGACAGGCCCTGGGGGCGCATGAATGCACCAAATGAATGAAGGAGTGCAGGGAGACATGGGTAGCGCGTCTTTCGAGATTAGAGAAGCGATCAGTAAGTTCAAATCTGAACTAAGGCTAGACACAATGGAGGGTACACGATGGGCGAGAAAGGTATATAAGCAGCTATATTATATGAAAAGTCTGAACACTAAATGGACAAACCGAACTCGAAAACTGTAATTCAAATACCAACAATCAGGTGCTGGGGCGGAACAGACAACCTCTGTAGAAAAGGAAGTAAAAGAAGCCGAAAGAAAAATGTGGGAGGAAAGAATGCAGGGCAGATCATCTTCAACTATGTATAGAGGACGAAAACAGGAAAAAAGGAAGGGAGATTGGCATGATAATTCACAGGAGAGCTAATTGTTATTTGGGACTAGAACAGGAGTATTGATGACTAGGACATGTTATGGCAGAGTATGAAGAAATGGATTCGCGGTGTGCCGCATGCCAAGGGGAAGACGAGACAATAGAACATGTGGTGTCGAGGTGAACAGGGTTCGCTCCCGCCCACCCGGAGGGTGTGACGGATTTAGCTGGAGCGCCGGGGTTTGCAGACAAGAATGTAAGAATGTATGATAATTGCCTTTTAATAACAGATGATATTGGAAGACTGGTGGAAATTATCTAGGGAGAATTGAATGACGTGAAACTAACTGACACAGCTGGGGACACCGGGGCAAGGGAACTTTGGTACTCCCTCCCGCGTTGCTCCGGCCGTAAGTCTCAACCATATCTCCCAGTGGGCCAGGTGTTGGGGTAACGCCGACTAGGTTTGACCAGACAAAAAATTGGCGACTCTCTCGCCGGGGGGAGGAGGCGGGGGGTGATGTTTTTAGTTGTTTTGCCCGATGCCCCAAAGGTCATCCCGGTGATATCCCACACCGCCTGATGATAGTTACAAAATTGCAAAGGGGGAAGTAAATTGGCTTAGAAGGGCGAAGGGAGGAATCATACATTTGGTTTTTAGTTTCTAGTCTAGGTGTCGCAATCTACCGCCTTTTTACAAAGGGTGCAGCCGTTAGAATTCATCCATCCATCCAAGCCGCAAAAAGCGCCCCCTATATTTTTATCTCCTCCCCAATAGCCAACGAAGAACCAACAAGACAATCAGTTTTAATGCCACATATGCCACTCATATGTCACTGCAACAAAACGGTGCTTGCTCTTGAATACATTTCAGGATGGAGTTCAAGCGAAGCAGTCTGGGACCATACTTGACGTCACTGTCCGGCATTGTTCAGAACACCGAAACGGGTTACTTCTGGATGGCTCACGCCATGAATTTCGCGACAGGTGTCGTGACGCCACTGACTACGGGTGAGATGGATCGTGTTTCCGATGACGCGCTATCGCGTGAATACTCAAACAATCGCTCTACTACATTGTGTTCAAACTGTTTAAAACTAGTTACAGTGACGAATCTATATTAACGGAAAATTAGTGAGCGCGAAAAAAAGCAAGCCACCAACCATAGTATCGTATGCCACCAAGACATTAAAAGACAATAAGTAGCTTTCATTTTGATACAGGTATCTCAATGAGGTAACAATACATAATTATAGAAACATGACGCCTTCTTCCGTCAACGCAGCATGTGCCAACAACACGTAGAGGGCAAACATTATAACAAACAGTGCGCTACTTTAGGTTAAGAATCGAACTGTTATATACATAATGGGAGCTATTTTTATGTTATTTGGAAACGCCATCATCGTTCAAGCTGACGGCCAGTTTAAATTGCCTAACTCATGAAGCGTGACTGGGCTCCGCATGAACTGTAGGAGAATTCGAATAAATCATCTAAATTTTTCCACAAATCAAACCAAGTCGGGACCTTGAGAGCCTAAAAGAGAGCATCGTTACCGCCAGAATGGCTATCGGACAAATGGCGACTCGGAGAAAAAGCGTTCGGAGGACCCCATAAAAATTCAGAGCAAGAAAAAAAAAAAAAAAAAAAAACTCGTTCCAGCGGCCAAAAGTCCCGCACTCAAGCGAGATTTTAGGCCGAGCCCACCATCGTCCAAAAACGTCGTTCTGACACCCCGCAAACGCGCTGCTCTTTTCCTCCGTTCGTATGCCTGTCTGATGAAAAGAAAAACACTTGGGCGGGAAAAGAACGGCTGCGCCGTGGAGCATTGAACGGCGCCGCCGCAGCGTTCAGGGAAACTGCAGCAGGCAGCCCATCTCACGTTTATGGCAACCAGCTCGCTCCCTTCGAGGCCAGAAAGTAGTGCGACCCTGCAGACCGAACTAGCGCTCGAGCCAGAAACAAAAATCGATCTAAAGGACCACCAAATGGGATTCTTGTGCAAAAAAAAAAAAAAAAAGAGTGCAAACTAAACCAAGACAGCGGAAGCAATGAGCTCTCGGGGACAAAGGAGCGAGAAGCTTGCATCAGTGAAAGATCGATCTCTTTGAAATCGCTTTGTCACCGGTGGAATGCAGGCAAGTCTCGCCTGTTTGTTGCTGTTGGTGTCGTAAATACGATGAGGTTCCCTGGCGGTGCCGTGAACTCCTGCGACGGCTTCTGCCGGTTAGTGTGCTTGGGTCGAACAAAGGGTTCGGAGGGTATAAGAAGGATTAAAGACACAGCTCCGCCATAAAGTGAATACTTCGCTTCTCCTTCTGTCCCTTTTCCTTATTAGTACTAAATGGAACTCGCGACTTTGAGACTCCCATCTTGTAGCTCGGGGTGTCTGTTCCCTCGCCAAAGTCGTTAAAACCGCGCTTTTGGCTTTCCTTACAATTGAGTATAGGGGGTATTCCCTGGACGCCATATTTGAGGACGATGTTTAAGGCGCATGCTCGGAACCAGCTAACATTAATGGGCTGCCAAGACCGGCAATCTTGATGGTGCGGAATGCACTTTGCAAAAGAACTGCGGACGCTCGCCGTTAGCACGCGCTCAGCAGCCCCGCACACAGATGTGGCCGCCAGTGGATACTCTCTATACCAGTGATCATCTCTATTAATCCCAGAGACATTCAACGTTTTCTGCTCGTACGCAGGTGAAAGCTACAAGTATTCAGCTCCCGTATCTAGAATATCCGCGCGTAGATAAACACCTCAGCATACGTAGGGACGTCCAGAAGTAGCTAAAATGCCACAGGCACAAAACTATTCCATGCGTTCTTGTTCTTGTATTTGAAAATACAATTTCACTTCTTTGCTTATCCCTTTTTTCTTCTTTTTTGTTTTGTACAGGAATCGGCTCGCATACTGTGGCAGACTCCGACCACGTGATCATGTGGTACAAGAAGCCAGCATTCTGATTGGGCAATCAACGGCCTGCGGGTCCGGTGACATGAGAAGATTAATGAACGGCGACGTGACCACATCCTCTCGTTTGATCGGTGGACTTGATAAACATCAAATGTTAACTGAAGACCATGAATATTCGACCTCTGACTCTGAGAGGGTTTTGTATATAAAAAAAAAGTGAAGGCGTTTGTTACATTTCTTTATTTATTTATACATACCCTCAATGCCTCAGGGGCGTTATAGAAGGGAGTGGGTCAGTACAGGTGGCTTTGGAGAGCTAGTCGGAATTGCTTGGAGTCGGGTATGGTAACTATGGCGTCCGGGAGGTCATTCCAGTCCACAACTGCTTCAGGGATGAGGGAATGCTGGTGTGCTTGACTTGATAACTTGGGACGTGCGATCTTGCATGAATGGTCCAGTCTTGATGATATGTAGGTGGGCGGGAGACATTTTCAAGAAAGGTGTGTAAAAGACTTTATGAAGAAGAGAAAGACGGAAAATTCGACGGCGGGAGGAAAGTAGAGAAAGGTTAAGACGAGACTTCGTTGGTGATACACTTGAGGTACGAGAATAGCCATTAAAAATAAAGCGAGCAGCGCGGTTCTGAACGGATTCAATGGAGTCTGTTAAATTTTTCTGATAAGGATGACTGATGGAGGACGCGTATTCTAATTTAGGCCGAACGATAGCGGTGTTCAAAATACGTTTTAGGTTATCAGGTGAGGATCTAAAGTTTCGGCGAGTGCAGCCTAGAGAGCGGTTTGCTGAGGATATAATTGTTTTATTATGAGTATGCCATGATCGATTAGGTGTGAGATGCAAGCCTAAGTATTTGTATTGGTTAGTATGATCAATGGGGACAGAGTTCAAAAGAAGTACTGGATAGGTAATTGACAATGAACGAGAAAAGCACATGCATTGACATTTGTTAGGTTTTAAGGACATGCACCATGTGTTACACCATTCAGAAATTTTAGAAATGTCGTCCTGAAGCGTTAAAATATTATGAGTAGAGGTTATCTTACGGTAGATTACATAGTCATCGGCAAAAAGCCGCACAGTGGGAGAGATGTTGAGAGGAAGGTCATTTATATATATTAGGAAGAGTAATGGGCCGAGTACTGTCCCCTGGGGGACACCAGAAGAAACAGAGCACAGGGAAGATTTGGTGTGGTAAGCATAAACAAAACTGACGACCTCGAAGAAAGAATTATTCGATTCATTTCAGAATATTAGGGTCAATCTTTAGCATCGAAAGTTTCAGTAGAAGGAGGTTATGTGGCACTTTGTCAAAAGCTTTGGCAAAATCCAGAAATACAGCACTAGTGGGGTAGCCGGAGTCAAGGTTTAGGTGAAGGTCATTAGTAAGAAATAGGAGTTGCGTTTCACAAGAGAAGTTGCGGCAGAAACCGTGCTGCGCGTTGCTAGAAAAGTTGTTGTTTTCGAGGAAATCAAACAGATGCGTGAAAATTATATGCTTCATAATCTTAGATCGCATGCAAGTAAGATATATAGGCCTGTAGTTGAGGGGAGAGGACTTACTGCCGCTTTTGTGGACTGGAATTACTTTGCCGATTTTCCAGTCCTCAGGCATCATCCCTGACTCCAAAGACTGCTGAAATATTTCGGTCAGAAGTAAACTACAAGAGAGGCCAGTGTTACGTAATATTTTAGTGTTTATATTGTCAACGCCAGAGGTCGGCAAGACCTTTAACGAATTAATAATTTGAGATACACCATTAAACTCTACAAAAACAGGGTCCATTGGAAAATAATCAGCAGGAACGTGACCAGGCAAACAGTCGGTAGAAATAGGTATAAACACATTGCAAAAAACATCATTAAACATTGCTGCACACTGATCATCTGGCACAACATCACCCGAGCCGCTAAACATCTTTGGTAAAGCGTGGTCTTTTGAGTTAACAATACTCCAGAAACGGCGAGGGTTGTTAAGTAATATAGAAGGGAGCGTCTGCTGAGAGTACACGGTTTTGCACTCTCGTAGTTTCATTTTGCAGTTATGTTCGCTATTTTTATATTTGGACCATGACTCAGGAGTGTCATCACGTTTAGCAGCACGGAAAAGCCTTTTCTTTTTGTTACAGAGAGACTCAAGCTGTCGATTGAACCCTGGTTTCGCCGAGGAAGGCCTGAGGTATTTGAAAGGGATGTGAATGTTAACAAGTTCGTATAACTTGTTTTTAATTAAGTAAATAAGTTCCAATTCTCGTTAACATCTCGTGAATCAAAATTAATTAAGAAAAAAAAGAAATAGCCACACAACGCTCGGTTTATTTCTTCGTAATTGCCTTTCTCGTATAGCAATATTTTCTTTCCTGAACGAAGAATGTTTGTAGTTTCAACTTTTATGTAAGATTGAATTGATTTGTGGTCACTGATGCCGTCCAAGAATACCAAAGTTGGTGGAAATAATTCAGGGTCGGAAGTAAGGACAATATCTAAAATGTTTGAACAGAAAGGAGAGACTCGCGTAGGAAAGGAAACCATCTGAGAAAGATTGAAATCTAAAACAACGTCAATAAATTGTTGACAAACACTGGAGTTTTTAGAGCAGACAGGAGTTAAGTCGTTCCGATTAATGCACGGAAAATTAAAATTGCCAAATAAAAGTATGGGATAGGTTGGATATTCTGTTGAAAGTAATGACAATTCATCGTGAAGAAGGCTTAAGAACGAGTGTGACGCGTCAGGAACACGGTAACAAACACCAACCAACACAGACCTAAAACTGCATTGCAAGCAGACCCAAACTATTTCAAGCTCTGAATGATTAGGAATAACTCTGCTAGGTATCTTTTTATCTACGGCTATAAGAACGCCACCAGCGCGCCGTTGCTGTCGATCGAGACGATAGATAATAAAGTTAGGGTGATCAGGCAGTATTTCACTATCAGTGACTTCAGGAGTTAACCACGTCTCGGTCAGTAAGATTATTTTGGCGCTGCAAGACGAGATAAGGGTACTTAGCTCATCACGTTTAGATAGAACGCTTCGGGCATTGGCATATAAAAAACTGATGCCCTCATATGGGCCTAATCTGCTGTTTCGGACACTCCCCGCCTCGCCCTATCGCTGAAGCTCATTTACTAACTTAGAATGTCGGTCATAGAGATACGTCTTTGAATCGATCAGAAGTTTATCGAAGCGTAGTTTGAATGGGGAAGTTTGTTGTTTGGCACATACGAGCAACGCCTTCCTTGCGGTGCGAACAGCCAGTGAATAATCCTCAGATAATGAAAAGAGTGTACCTTTTAGTTTCGAGGGGGAAGAAAGTAACTGGTTTTTCATTTGAAAAGACAAGAACTTCACAATGATAAGCCTTGTTCTCCCTTGACGGAAAGCACCAAGGCGGTGCGCACGCTCCACATGTGAGCTATCAACTGCGACGCCCAAGTTGCCCTTCGCAAGGTCAAGTACTTTCTGTTCAGATATTTGTTGAGATTCGCTCGGAGCATCAGGGGTACTGTAAAACAACAAGTTTGAACGACGCAAACGGTTCTCTAAGTTGTCTATGCGAGCAAGCAAGGTTGATGTTGCAGCACTCTGCTCAGACGTCACAACATGTACTAGTTCATTAATGTCATGCTTAACTTCAGCAATGATAGATACATCCTTTTCAATTGAAGTAACCCGATTAGAAAGAGAAGACAGAGCGGTGTCAAGGCTTTGTTGTTTCTCTAAGATGTGTTTTATGTCAACCTTGATGTTTTTCTGTCCAGCTTCAAGTATAGTTGATTTGGATTCAATGGTTTGCCGCATAACGAACATGTCATTTAACTGCCTTTGTTCAGAGGCAGACTGGGGTCCCGGATTTGTTTCCACATCACCACACTGCAGTAGCAGTGCCTTAAGCATACATAAACAATCAGTGGCAGATACAATAAGCACTCCGGGGCATGGGAGCAGAAGAAGGCATACGTTGCTAGTTCGCTTAGTATATAATGAGAAACGTTTACAGACCTGTGCGAAAACGAGCATGCCCTGGTTAAGCGTCAGCATTACGCTTACGCTCCCATGCCCACAACTACAACCGCTGAAGTCGAATTTTATACCCGTGCCACACGGGCAACTCGAATGCCATTTACAACGAATGACATTTGTGTGATCGGAGAATCAGCTCGGCAATCTGTCGCGTGTGGAATGCGCCACGCCCGGAGTGTCGCGCGCTGATTGGCCGTCCGCTCAAATGTCATTCGTTGTAAATGTCATTCAAGTTGCCCGTGTGCCACGGGTATTAGACATTTAAAGGCCCCGAGCCTTCTGAATCTCAAGGCCCTCTTTTAGCCTGATTTGTTCCTGGGTGCTATCTCGAACCGAGGTGGGGAATTATTTCGGCCCATAAGTGCATATAAACATAAAACAAATTCAATATCTATTTGTTGCTAATTTTTGTATGCGGAAAGAAAGTTGCCATGTTCTTTTCGCGCGCTCGCTAATTCAATATGGTTTCTTTCTGGTTGTGTCCCTTCTAGTGCATGCTCGCTTTCTTCGGTGGCATTGCCATTTTACATCAACATTGAGAGCACTGCCAAAAAATAAAATCTACAAAAAACAAAGAACTAGCTTCAAGGAATGGGTCAGTAACAGCGCCGTCAAAACCCAGAGACAATAAAAAAAAAACTTGGCAGAGACACGTTTAGTTTCGACATGGTCTGACGTGCGAGCGCGGTTCGAGCAAAGGGTAAAATGTGAAATATGAAGCGAAAAAAGAGAACCCCATTAGAGACTTTGTGCAAAACTCCAAAGAGGCGGTTGTATAAACATCGCACTCCGGTTAAAGTGCCCGGCTGAATGAACTGCGAGTAAACTAGGGTTAAAATTCGAAGAGGTCGTAGGGGAAGTAAGCGTTTTACTCACATCACGCGTGGGGCTGGAAGTGACATGAACACTTGGCGGAGCGGGCTTTCGGATTTTCTACACTGACCAGCATTTGTTTCCGAGCAGCGTGAAAGGTCTTGATAGAATAAAAAAACAAAAACAAATGGATGTTCGCAGATAACTGGCTAGTAGAATTCTAAGACGAAGATTCCACTTGGCGTGTCTGAAGTTGTCGGCAAAAAATTTCAGTTGTCGCTGACTCAGTCTAATACAACTGTTAATTTAATATTGCTATTTACAACGTTGCCAGACGCCTGTAAGGTGACCAAACAAGAGGAAAGAATGC